AGAAATGTAATCTGCCCCTAAACAAAGCATTAGTAAAACCTCACAAGTCTTCATCTTTCCTTCTATAATAAGAGGTATAGACCTGAATATAGAGACGTAATCTGCCACTTTACAAAGCATTAGTAAGACCTCATCTGTCATTATCCTTCCTTGTATTATAAGTGGTAAAAACTCAGTAGAGAGAGAGAGACATAATTTGCACTACGTAAAGCTTAAGTAAAACCTCATCTGTCACCATCCTTTTTTATTTTAAGAGGTATAGACTCCAGAGAGAGAGAGACTTAATCTGCCCCTATACAAAGCATTAGTAAGACCCATCTGTCTCCATCCTTCATTGTATTATAAGAGGTATAGACTCAGGAGAGAGACTTAATCTGCATCTATACTAGGCATTAGTAAGACCTCATCTGTCTCTTTGCAGTCGCTCCTGTGTAAAATGTCCCCTGACATTAATTATGTAATGTAGATTTGAAGTTTCTCTCATAGATTCCATACATATACCATTCCATACTCTTGTCTTCATACTGAGTTGTCCCACTATTTGGTTTACTAATCCTCAGTGGAGATTCCTCAACATCCCATATACTCATCCCTATAATGATGTGACCCCAGCTTTTGTTATAATCATTCTCATAATGATTAAATATACCTTTCCTCATACTGAAGAGTCCCCACCATTGCTTGTTAGTTATAAACCGTGCTCCATTTCATATATTCATCCTCATAGTGATTAGCCCTCACCTTCCCATATGCTAATCCTCATATTGATGAACATCCACCATTCCTCATACTTGTCTTCAATGATTAGTCCCCGCCTTTCCAAATGCTAATCCTCATAAAGATAAACCTTCACCATTCTTTGTACTTATCCTCCTAGTGAGGAGCTTCTGGATGTCCATATACTTATCATCAGAGCCCTGAGCCCCCACCATTCCGTATACTCATCATCATAGTGATTAGTCCTCACCTTCCCATATGCTAATCATCATATTACATTATTGCTATATCACACCTCCTGCTCTGGGATTAGCCTTGTTGCTGGTGGTGCCCTATTTAAGCATCATCAGCCTGTCCCCCGGTGATAGCTCTGTCTATACAAGCCGTGCTCTGTCCCTCCAAATCCAGTGTGTCTCCGGTTCTGACATTGGCCTGTCCCTGGATTTAGCTTTGCCACCTGCCAGCCTTTGACCTCAGCTTGTCCCTGATTACTCTCTGGTGGTGTCTTCCTACTTTGGTCTGTACCTCGGTTCAGCACGTCTGGCCAGCTTGTGGCATCACCTGAAGATAGAGTTTAAGACCTGGGGCATCCAAGTACCGGTAGGCGTGCTTGCCTTATGGGAACGGCGGCTGCTATAGGTGAAACAACTTGTCACTATATGTTCTGACAGCGTGTGTCAACAACCAGTCCTGACATTATCAGAAGCCTATATAAAGAAGAGACCGGCACTACTCCTGGGCGATGATGGATGTTGGAAACGATAAAACTAACATCTATGATACAGCTTTGATGCAAAGGTGTTCCTTGATATCCTGAACTGAATCAGCATCTGGCTGTGTAATACGCAAATGAGGTTCTGGGGGCTGGACACTGATGAATGAAGATCTGCCGGACTGTCATCGCCTGGGGCAAGCCCCACCCCCTGCTGGTATTTACTGCCCACACCTGCGTCAGCAAGGAAGCATACATGCTGGAATGGGGGGGGCAGGGGCATATGATGGAACTTTCTTCCTGTGTGATCATTTGCACTATCCTAGGTCACAAGCAGGAACAATGGTAACCTTGGTGACCTCTTGGACAAAACAAGTCTTTCTGGACTCTACAATCAAGAAGAATGTGATTGGCTGAGACCTGCTGGAGAGGCGTGTCCTGGGCACAGAGAAAAACCCATGGCATGTGTGACTGAGAGAGAGAGAATGGGGTGGCTAGCTGAAGGATCCTAACCTCAATTCCTACTTAACCTCCTCCAACCCCCTCTCCAATTCCCTTCATTGTAATTAGAATGTATGTAGATCCCTGTTTGTAAATAAACCCCCCGACACTTATATAAGATTCAGTTGTTCATCAGTAATTGAAGGCGCCCCCAAATCAGAGGACATTCTACAATGGATGCCGTACAAGCCGTGTGTTTCCAGAAGGATTATACAAGCTGACGCGTCAGGTTCAGGATCTGTCCTTGCACATCTCTCAGCATCTCTCCCCATGTGTGTTGAGTACAGTGGAGGAAAGTACATGATATGATATGTTATTGGCCTTCAGCCACCTATGAGTATGATTCCCTATTGTATCTTCTATAGATGAGACCAATGGGGACTGTCTGTGTGGCTACTAGGTTTAGTTCCAGGATTGTAGATCTGTATCACCGGCCATTACTGGGCATGTTCTCCCACCATTACTATATGTACAATACAGACCTATCGATAGACACCTGACCAGTATCATGGAATCTATGGGGGGAGGGGTCTATATATTATGAGTGTAACCCCTTCCTTGGAAGTATTATATCTATGTGTATTTACTTTCACTCTTTATAGTTGGGTTTGTCCTATGACATTGATGGCACCCGCCTTTGTTGCCTCTTCTATGGTCCCCTGAAGGGGAGACGCTCTGCGGGGATGTGTTCCTTTCATCACGTGCTGGTCCTATGGTACCTGGGGTCACACACCAACACACCATGTGGTTCCTATGTGTACTTCTATCTTCATATTACAGTTATGTAACATGTCCTAATAATTCATTACAGACTATAACAACGGGAAGGTGATAACTGGGCAACCCGAGAGCGGGCGCCTCTGCCATCATACAAACTGCTTCCTCCATGAAGGGAGATATCTCCATCAGGGCAACAACAAGGATTTCTAGTAATGGCTTCAACAAAGGAGATAAAAGACTGGAGGCGTGTCTAGAACTATGACATCACATCTATCAGGAGCCCAAAATTCATTTGGTATCGCCGTACTGTCCAATACAACATAATTCTAATGTCCGATGTGACTTTATCTCCTGTAGGGGTATATTTAATGTTTGCTTCTTCTTAAAGGGGAATGCCATCTCCTGGAAGACCCATTGAGCAAAGATTATCCTCTGTCAGGAGCTCTGGTGGAAAGTCTCTGGCTGTACCGGTGTGTACAAAGCAATCAGATGCCGGCTGCCTATCTGTCTCCTACAAATATAACTTCCTGTTTTCCTATTTCCATCTCTTTCATTGTCTGTTATATATTTCACATCCTCTGATCCATCCATCCAGGGCTGCACACAAACTCCCATGGACTGAGTACAGACCCCTCCTCCGTTCCTGGGAGTGAACACATTGCATTCCTCATACTCGCCCGGCTCACCTACTCAGACCTTTTACATCAACTTGTAATAACCATCATCATGACTTCAACAACGTTCCATAATCAGATCTTTCTAATGTATTTATGTGGAAATGGGAGCTTGTGGGAGATCCTCAGACTCAACACCCGGGAGCTAAAGGGTGACACCTGTGGCATTGCTGAGTTATTGTGCCACTGGTATGGTGGGAGCTGTATCTAGAGTTAGCAAACCTGCTCAGATTAGTGTAGAATATGGGGGAGGGGACAATTTCTTATAGTCATACAGTACACGCGGTCTCACGGGAGAAGCAGACATGACCACACACACACAGTGATTACACTGCTCGCTGTCATACACAACGCTCAGAATGTAATCACACAATCATCTGCCCAGGGCAGCCGCAGTCTGTAAGGATAACTCGGCTCTACCTGATACAACAAATGAGAAGAAGAAACAAGTAACAGTGCCGGATTTATACCACAAAGGTCCGCCATGTGAAGCCGGGTCACCTTGCAGCTAGACACCCAGGAAACCTCATGGCACAGGGCAGTGCTCATTTTGGCACCAAATTTCATTTTAATTTTAGTCTTTTGACTGAAATTAATTTTTATTTTATAATCTAGTTTTAGTCGACTCAAATCTAATATGTTTACTTTTAGTGTAATGCATTATCTCAGCAATTCTCCGGCATTCCCAAACTCATTTCATTACATATCCCCGGAGTCATTTTTATTTAACTTTTATTTTTTATTTTTTTTTAATTAATTGCTATCACATGGGGGGGGGGGGTCTAAGAAGCCCCCCATGTGATGGCACATTGGATGTGACAGGTTCTCTTTAAGGTGACATTAGATCCCTAGTGTCACCTTTCCACTTTACTGGATTCAGCTGCTGAGACATACTAAGCCTGCTATTGGTTATTTTAAAATTCAATAGCAGGCTGGTTATTGCACCCGCCCATTGCCTGCAGTCAATCATCAGCAGAGGAGGGAACTGAAGGAGAAAGTTCTCCATCAGGTCTTCCTGAGCCGATTGACAGCAGGCAGTGGGTGGGTGCAATAGCCAGCATGCTATTGAATTTAAAAATAACCAATAGCAGCCTGAGTATGGCTCCAGCCCTCCTAGATGCAGAGGAGGAACGGGTCAGCAGTGGAGGCATGGGGGCGGGGCAGAAAAGAAACAGGGGTGGGGCAGAGGAGGAGTGGGCCGGTGAAGAGGAGGAAGGGGCAGACAAAGAGATGGAATGGACCGGCAGCAAAGGTATGGGGGGCAGCGGGGGAATGCAGTCGCAGTGGTCTCTCCTCCCTGCTGGTCCCGGCTGCAGTGGTCTTTGTCCCCGCTGCCTCTGCCGACACAGGCGGGGAGAGAAGCTTGGATTTAAAGGGACACAGACCGCTACAGCCAGCACTAGCGGTGAGGAGGGTGCGAGAGAAAAGGAAGCAGGTTGCCTACCAGACGACTTATGTTTGTGTCTCAGGGTCCGGATCGGGTGGGTTTGTTCAGCTGCGCAGTTTCCGTACTCACTCCCGGCTCAGGACTTTGTTTGTTGTATAAAAAGTTCTCCCCCCTCTCTCTATGTGTGAGACAATCTGTCAAAAAAAGGACAATCAACAGTACTTCACCTGTATCTGACCGGACTTGTTACCCAGAACTGACACAGATAAGAACGTTGGTAAAGGTCAGAACTCGTAAACCTCCCGTGTCACCTTGGGGGTCTCTCCGGTCAGACGGTGGGAAGATGGGGGAAAAGAAGAGTTCCCCTAAAGCCATCAAGTTCCTCTTCGGGGGGCTGGCCGGGATGGGGGCCACAGTTTTCGTTCAGCCACTGGATCTGGTGAAAAATCGAATGCAGCTGAGTGGAGAAGGAGCCAAGACAAAGGAATACAAAACCAGTTTTCATGCTGTCAGCAGCATCCTGAAAAATGAGGGAGTCGGAGGCATCTATACAGGGTTATCGGCCGGTCTCCTTCGCCAGGCCACCTATACCACAACACGTCTTGGTATTTATACCATCTTGTTTGAGAAGCTAACAAAAGCCGATGGCACACCCCCTAATTTCTTAATGAAAGCTGCTATTGGGATGACGGCAGGGGCTACCGGAGCCTTTGTGGGGACCCCAGCTGAAGTGGCTCTTATTAGAATGACGGCAGATGGAAGGTTACCTCCTGACCAGCGGAGAGGATACAGCAATGTGTTTAATGCTCTAGTGAGGATGAGCAGAGAAGAGGGGATCACCACGCTGTGGAGGGGTTGTGTACCCACCATGGCACGCGCTGTAGTTGTGAACGCGGCACAGTTGGCTTCCTACTCCCAATCCAAGCAGATCCTCCTCGATTCCGGATATTTCCGGGACAATATCCTGTGTCACTTCTGCGCCAGTATGATCAGCGGGCTAGTCACCACGGCTGCCTCTATGCCTGTCGACATTGCGAAAACCAGGATACAGAATATGCGGATGATAAACAGAAAGCCTGAGTACAGGAACGGATTGGATGTCCTCATGAAGGTGGTGCGATATGAAGGATTCTTCAGCCTCTGGAAAGGCTTCACCCCTTACTACGCCCGGCTGGGACCTCACACCTTCCTGACCTTCATCTTCCTGGAACAGATGAACAAATACTACAAACAGTTTTTCCTGAGCGGATGATGAGACTTCCAACCCCCCCTCTTCTATTTATCTGGCCTGCAGACCCAAATCAAATCTTGTACATGAAAACACTCCACCCTTCGGGGGCTTGGGGGGGGGGGGTTTGTGATGGCTCTAACAGCCAGGCACCTGTACTTAAATGTGTGTCTCAGCGGGTCATACTCGTGTTGGTGTGACCCAAGGAAGTAATTAAGGGGCGGGGCTCAAACACATAGCTTGTCAAGGTGTCAGGTACAATGAATGCGTGTTAGACTCTCTCCTATCTTGCAGGCAGAGGAGGTTATAGTGTTAGTGATGTCCAAAGCTTCTGGTTTTCTTGCTTTCTTTTGGTCGATAGACTGGGGTTGTTCTTTATTTTGTCTGCACAATCACATGGGTGTCTCTCTGTGTAGCAAAGAGTTACCAGAATTTAAAGGGGGGCTCCATGCTGACATATGACACATGGGTGAGGAGAAGAGGGAAGAGTGTAGTGTGTAGATTATTTGCGCCTCCATCGATTCTCCAGTCTGGTTCTTCCACATTGTGTTGTTGACTTCTGAGACCTGCAGTCTGAGCTATAGTCTCCTTCCACAGAGCGTGGAAGGGACCTTCCCACTGAGCGTGGGAGGGACCTCCTGCAGAAGAATACAGTGTGCTGCTCCCAAGCCCTGAGTTGGGCTCACTTTGGGAAGACAGGCGCTAAGCACCAGTAGCAACTTGTCTGGTACCCCGCAGTCCTCGCAAATTCTAAGGCAAAAGACCAACTGCACTGCGTGGAGGTTCAGCCGCTGATGGCTTTGTTCATCTGGATGGCATGAACAGAGAAGTCTTATGTTTCAAGTCTGGGCTTAATCGTAGAGTTATATATGATTCAGACTTGACTTGCGTCAGGGAAGAGGTCCCAGGCGGGAGACTCTGCTCGTGCTGTCCAGATGAATGGAGCTATGGCTGATTGAATTTCCACACCGGTCTCTTTGGGTGGGAGACCACTGATGGACTCAGAAGCTCCCTCAAACCAAAATTTTACCACAGAGCGAGGACATGGAGGTGGGCATAACCTACCTACTGTGCCACCCCTTTTCCTCCCACCCCGCCTCCACCAAATCCTTACTTCTGCAGTCTTCAGGATGGAGTTTTCCTTTAAACGGTTATTTCAGGAGGGACCTCAGCCAAAGTGATCCTATTTTTTTTTTTTATCACCTGGAGACCGTTTCATTGTTGGGGTAATTGTATTATTATTATTGCTGATAAATGATATTTATGCAGACCTGTAACTTCTTATGAACAGTGAGAATCCGGCATATAAACCAAAAGTTGACTTTAAAAAAAAAAGAACGTTGGTAAAGACTCTGGAAGGGAATATCAATAAACAGAAGTTCACCACTTGCTTCTCAGAGGACCCCTAGCTGGGGTCTGAGGGCGTCTTGTGAACTTCCACAACGCACTTCCAAAAACTTTTAGACAACAAACATTAAACACTGACAGAGAACAGACAGATTAGATAACAAATAATAGACAAGCAAAGCGCATGCAGCAAACATTGAGGATGAGCAGCCTGATGGACAATGTAAACAATTAACCGTCCTACCAAAACAAGATTCCTCTCACAGGAGAGAGTGAGCGCTGTAACTTCAGTGACGCTGCCACAGCATCTATGAAGCTCCCTCAGCATCTATGAATTCACTCCATGTATCTCTAGAGCAAGGTGAGAGCGAAAATAAAACAGCTGCTCTCCCGGCTGTGGAGATCCCACTTCTGACACCAAGCTGTTAGGGTTCCAATCTTAGAGTTCCCCGGGATTGGATCGTGCTGCCAGCTTCAGACAAGTACTTGGGAATAAAGAGTCACACCAAACTGTGTATTCATTCTATATAAGAAGGTTTATTGTTACAACAAAAGATTATATGGACAGTGAAAGGGGCGATGGCGGGGTATAATAAAAGACATACACGTATACAAAGCTCATTATAATAATATGGAGCATAGAACAGCTACAAAGAAGGAAATTATCTGGCAAGCTTCAAGGTCACATGTTTCACACGGAGATAACATTCAATTCACTGAAGGATGCAGACTCCTCATTATGGAAACAACTAAAACTACTGGATGTAGAGAACACAATTTTCTCTGATTCAAACATTACCTCCGTGTGTACCAGAAACAAGCAAATAAGGTGATTTTACACTTTCCATGTACACACAGCACTATAATCCTGTAGGCCTCTCACTATCAGACCCCATGGGTCCTCACATAGCACTATGTACACCACTATTACACCATCAGTTTTATGTTCTTCATATCAGGATTCTATAGAGACAACATTCAGGGAAGAGACATTTCCACCATTATTAGACTTCATGTTATGATGATTACTGAACACAATGTTGGGGTACACAGGAGGGGGGTTGTATATATGTCGGGGTACACAGGAGGGGGGTGTATATACAACGTCTATCATTCTATGTTGTACGGCTCTTATCTCCAATATTGGTCTGTGTGTGATTGGAATGTCTCAGACCTGTGTCCAGGGATACAGAGACTGGTGGGCAGAGCTCCTTCAGGTCCAAGAAGAGAGTGCGGGGTGTCCTCCTCCATCCACAGAGGAGAATTGGGATGAAGGATGGAGATGACTGGGTGGTCAGTGTCCTTGTGTAGTAGGAATGTTCCGGCGTGCTGGGTCTCATCAGTGGGGGGAGTTTTGGGGGTGAAGATCCAACAATCACATTTGTATTTTGTAGTAATGAATACATGAAGGAGTAACAATACAATATAAAATGGAGGAATGGGAGGAAGGAGACATTCATGGGTCAGATCATTCCGGAATGACGTTCAGTAGAATCTCTCATCGCTGAATCTGAAGAAAAGGAAAAAGCTGAATCATCAGTTTCATGAACAGGTCAATGTGATATCATTCCATTCTGGACATTGTCTTCATATCGGGATCCGTGTATTACCTGAAGAGGAGGAGGCGGCTGCACAACCTCCAGATTATCTTCTTCTTCTGTCTATAGATACAATCCATTCTCCACCCCTTCATAAAATAATAAAATGAGAGTGTTAGCGGGGGAGGGGTTCCTGGGATGATGGAAAAGGGGGGGCTGGTACTGGGGTCTGGAAGAAATGACGGACATTTTTATACACACTAATGGGAAGTATTTTGATGTCTTCCTGGAAATGTGTGCGATGTGTAATGTACAAATCTGCAGCCGTACAATGTATGTCAGTGGTCTCCTATGCTGGGAGTAGATCTGACGTAGATTGTATGTCCATGGCGGGATGTGTGATCTCTTCATAACTGACCCCAGTATACAAATACACCCAACCATCCCCTCTGTCCTCACACTATAGGGGTGTGAAAAGTGTCCCACATTTATATGGCCCCCACCACCTTGTGAATCACCCACCTAATACTGAGGGGTCACCACCATGACAGGGGCCCACATACTCATGGCCACCCAACCATTGGTATAGCAGACTGTATGCCTGGTGTGCTGGGCTGGGATGTGTACAGGAGGAGAACCCTCATCTGATGTGTTCAGTTATACTGACAGATTGAATAGAAAGCAGGTGAGGGGGGATGGTGGTAATGGAAGATTGAATAGACAGCGGGGGATGGTGGTAATGGAAGATTGAATAGACAGCGGGGGAGGGGTGGTGGTAATGGAAGATGGGATGGACAGCGGGGGAGCGGGGATGGTGGAAATGGAAGAATAGATAGACAGCGGGGGAGGGGGGATGGTGGTAATGGAAGTAAAGTCATTTCTCTGTAAAGTTAAAACCTTGTGGAAGATTGTGGGACCTGACTAAGAGTATTAGGGGTGGAGCCGATTCTCCTCATCCACCATCTGTAATTATAAATTCTCCATCATCTGGGAAATCTGTGACTGGCCCAGGAAATCTAAATCGCTTCTCTCATTATCTGTATGACTCCAGAGACCTCCAATGGGTTCCAGCAGAACCCCGTCCTTCCATTCTTCATTACAGTCCAGCCCGGGGGTCAGAAGACCTCCCAACAAGGTCCCACCTCCACCATCTCCTCCCCATCCCATGTTGTGTATGTTTAGTGTTCAGAGTCTGAGGCATAGTATGTGTGTTACCTCCAATATAATAGATCCTACCTTCTACGCACAGAGAAGCCGGCATGTCGGAGGACCTCACAACGACAAGCCACTTCTGAGTCTGACATCTTCTCATCATCATACAATGATATCTCCAGTATGATCAGAGTTCGGTTTGTGGTGATAACGGAGGAAAGATCATCACAGCACGTTAATGTCACTCCACGGTCATGAACTCTGGATGGGGAAACAGGAAAGAGAGGTGAGAAGTTCCTCCAGTGACACATTCAACACACAGTTACATATATAATAATAATAATAATAATAATAATAATAGTGACACGCTAAATGCAACAAAAAAAACCCCAAATCTGTGTACTATTAATCCAGGAAATATATACATGAGGAGATCAGACCATTGTGCACCATTCCAATGACATTCATAGACCATACAATCCATGACAGATCATAGCGCACCCCATAAAATCACAGGGAAATATATTTTAGAAACAAGCAGATATCAGACAATCCGACATTCACATCTCCGATCCTCAGGATCTCTCCCATCGGATCATCATTTACAGTATAATTCTCACATCAGCTTCTGCAGGGTGGGTACAGTCTGGATGTCGGAGACCCTCACACAGAAGTTTTATTCCAATCTGAGTCCTGCAGATTATCATATGATAAATACAGGCTCATGAGAGATGGATTAGTGATCAGTATTGATCGGAGAACATCACAGGACGAGGAAGATAAATCACAAAAAGAGAAACTGTGGAGAAAAATATAGAGACATGAAATGATACTTCGGGAGGAATACAAGGACTTATTGTCATTTACTGAGAAGTCATAACAATGATTTGTATCTACTGGACATATAAAGCGATCACATGACCATTGCTGAACCAGAACCCCGAGTCCTGGACAGCACTGCTTCACTCTAATGGGTCTCATCAGCCGGGGATGATAGTTCTGGTTACCATGGGTACATATAGCCAATAGGAA